ATATAGGGTGTTGCTTAAACCCTGACAACCCTGACAACCCTGACACTTCAATGACAAGGATAATTGAGTTTGAGAAAAGCTCACCAATTGTCAGTCACCTCACTGTTTGTCAGTCACCATGTCACCACGAAAATAACACTTTCGAGTGGAAAGCACAGGCATTGCCCATCCATTCCCTGACTGATTATGGAATACCAATGAGGAAGGTCTTCATAGGTAAGCCTTCTGGTTGGCTTGCCACAAAGGGTTCCCAACCCAGCTGAGCAACACAGCATTTTAAAACTTTGCAAGACACTTCCAGAAAGCCAGTGTCTCTCCCTCTCTCCCTTCAGGAGAAACTGTATCTCCTGGCCTCCTCCCAGAAGTTCCACCCTTTCCTCATCCTTTCACATTCTCTTGTTCACTTTACAAATTATACCCATCTTCTGCTTTTCTCAGCTTCTTATTTCTGTGTTAAACTGAGGAAAGAACCCATTGAGCTTTGCCAGTAACAGGTATCTTGATAGGCAGAGAGGCATCTGAGTAAAAGACAAGATCACGAAATGAAAATTACCTTGATATCAATTGAAGAAAAAGCACTTGCTCACAGAAAAATTCTATTCCTTGGTATTACCAGCACTTTATAAAACATGAAAAAAATACATGCATGTCGTTGAAAATGTCTCAGTTTCACAAACACAGTTCTTCACATGCATGACTGTAATATTTTCATACTCTCTTGGTTTGCTGTCCCAACTTGCAGGACAGGGTGCTCAAACACTGAGGGTGGACTGGGAATGCCGGGCTGCTAGCCCCCTGGCTGCTGGGCCAAGAAACACACATGGACACACATACTTGGTGGAAAAGAGTGCCTCTCATTCTTTATTTTACTCCTCATATATATACCTTCTTCTCTAGGGGAGGAGGTGAAGAGGAGGGGTTAGGGAGGGTTTCCTGGAACTAATTATCTTCATTGAAGCAGGGAAGGAACTAATCATCTGTATGGAAACAGGGGAGGAAGTAATCTATATTGAAACAGGGGAGGAACTAATGATCTGAACAGGAACAAGGATGGAGGTATTCTGCTTGTTTGACACAGGATGTTCCAGCCTAATATCCTGCTTGCTGTGGCCCTACTTGCCCAAGGCACGCTTTGCAATGCAACAGGCTGTCAGGTAGGCCCATAAGTCTGTGGCTCCTAACAGATTGCTATTTCTTTATTGGGAGAAATAATCAGATGAATCTCAAAGATCTAACTTCCCCAAACCATGTAGACTGCAATATCTGATTCTTCAAATTGGAGGAGATGCTCTTGATCACGTGCTTCTATCGCTCTAGTACTCTCCTTTCTTTGCCTCCCCAGTACCTGCTTGCTCTCTGGCTTCCCACGGACAGACTCAGGACAGATACAGGAAAGCAGCAGACACAACAGTGTGGTGTTGCAGTGACTGATACTCCAGCGGCATTCAGACAGCCACAATCTAAACTCCACCAACAGCCAGAACTCCACCAAAGAAGGAGGTAATGGAGGTTTACCAGGAGCTCAGGAGCTAAACTCAGACAATGAATTGCCTGTCCTGCTGGTGTGTTTGATTTGACCAGGAGAAGAGACAGAGCAGCAGGTCTCAGATGAACAGTGCAGGAAAAGGGTGGAATTCACAACCCAGTCAGCACCCTAGAGCCGAATCGGACACCATTTTGCACAATGTGAAAAACTTTAAGACTACAGGGACAACAGTGAGCTACACATGTGCTGAGCTTGGGGAGAACTCACTGAGCTCAGTGCATTGCACTGGTCCCACAGGAAAATAATATTGACTATGGCATCCTATGGGTCAAAATAGGTCCATGTGTCCCTAAAACCAAACAGCCAACTAGTTCTGGCAAGATCAGTACCAACAATAACCTAGCTATATAGGACACCTGGTATCTCCCTAATCCTGGGACCTGCTCCAACTGGAAGTGGGAAAAAGCTTGTAGAGAAAGTGGTGCAGGCTTAGCCTGGTATCACAGCATGTGGAGACTGTTGAGTCAAGAGCTGGGACTAAGGAGGTGATGCTGTAAGTCGAACATAAGAACCCAGACCTGGAATTCGCTGGAGGTAGTGGCACAAGTGATTACAAACAAACAGCTGTGTTTGAACTGCAGTAAGTAAAATTGAACTGTACACGTGTGGATGACACAGCTTATAAAACCTGCCCCAAGGAGAAGAATCTGATAACTAGAAGCACAATGACCAAGAGCAAAAGAAGAGACAGATGCACAATGTTTCTTACTGAAAACTGCACTGCAGAGGGACAAAAACCATTGCCAAACTCAGAGTTAACTGAGGAAGACATCGAGAAAATGGAGAATACAGCATTCAAAACACTTGTTATAAAGCTTCTTATCAACAACAAGAAGCATGTAAAGCAGGCATTCAAGGAATTCAAGGAATATGTCACACTGGCAATGAATCTAAGGAAAGCTGATATATCAGAAATGAAGAATACAGTGGAGCAAATTAAAAGCACAGTAGACAGTCGCCAAACTAGAATGAAGGAGGCAGAAGAAAGCATCTCAGAATTGGAAGATATTTCCTGGCAGTTGATTTTTTTTCATGTGCACATTTAAAGATCTTGTCTTTTCTTTTTTTTTAAGATTTATTTATTTATTGGAAAGTCAGATACATAGGGAGGAGGAGAGACAGAGAAGAAGACCCTCAGTCCAATGATTCACTCCCCAAGTGAGCTCAATGGCCGATGCTATCCTGATCCGAAGCCAGAATCCAGGAACTTCCTCCAAGTATCCAACATGGGTGCAGTGTTCCAAGGCCTTGGGCCATTCTCAACTGCTTTCCCAGGCCACAAGCAGGGAGCTGGATGGGAAGTAGAGCTGCTGGGATTAGAACCGGTGCCCATACACAAAGATTAGTTACTCTTCACTAGGGTTTTGAAGATTTCTCTGCGCATCCCTCCTAAAACTGTTCACCTAAACTGTTGACATATGTCTTGTTAGAGTTAAAGAGTTAGACTGCCTGAAAAACAGCCAGGTTCTGCAAAATCATGCTTCAACGCTATGAACTGCTAAATATTAAAATTAAACTAGACATGAGACAGATGAATAGTAATCTATAGCCATTTTAAGGTGAATAGAACCCAGTTGTATATAAACTAATAATTGTAATGTCAATGGAGAAGTCATAGGATGTAGTAAAGGACTTGCACTCTTTTTTCTCTTTCTCTCTCTCTCTCTTTTAACATGCTGGTTACACAATACCATGTCAACTAATTCCATTACGTTATAAATTGTTACTGATGTAATGTAAGGGTTTTTAATTGATTGGGATGATACTCTGTTGGCTCTACCTTCAGACCAGAGACAGTCTCCCCAAGAAAATGTTTAACTTATCTGGACAGTAAGATGCTGGACTCTATGCTTTGTAGATGCTTGCAAGGAAAGGTTCTCAACTGAATTTGAACAGTAGTAATGCAACAAGAATCCACCATGGGGGGGGGGGGGCAGATTTAGGGCAGGGAAGGGGGGAACCCAAGAGCCTATAAAACTGTGTCACATACTGCAATGTAATCAAAAAAAAAAAAAAAAAAAGAACCAGTGACCATATGGGATCCCAGCATGCGTTCAAGGCAAGGACTTTAGCCACTAGGCCACACCACCGGGCCCTAAAGATCTTTTCTTTATGTTTGAATGAAAAGTGCATGATTATCATGTGCAGTGGTGAAGATCACTCTTGATCAAGCCTGTTGTGAGTTCTGTGCCCCTCCTAGATGCTGTGTCCCAATTCTTTCCCAGCACAAACTATCTCAGGAGTTTTGATTATTATTGTTGGTTTCTTTTCTTGAAAACATTTTCTTCTGATTAAATTATTCACTGACACATAGATCATACAGTACCATCATTTTCTTCAACAAGGTTCTGGATTTTCTTTTTCATTTCTTCAGCGACACATTAGTCATTCAATCACATGTTAGTTAACTTCATGGTGTTGTTTATTTTTCTTTCTTCCTGTTGTTAATTATGTTTCATGACTTTTCCTTTAAGGGGATGTATAGTAACTGTGTAATGGAAGCTTTCATATCTAGCAGCATGTTATTTTACTTCATGGCATTGCAAATCTCTATTTTTCTTCCTGTTGTTGATTTTGCATTGTGGCTTTTCATTAAGGGGATGTATAGTAAATGCATAATGGAGACTATCATATCCAGAGGAGAGGATACAATGCAGTATGTAACTCTACTTCCAGATAAAGGTGGACTCCCAATGAAACTGTTTACTATATCTTGAGACTAGGATCTTGGACTGTCTGCCATTGTCCATGCCCGCAATGATGGACATATGACTGTGTATGAAGAACTATACCACAGTATTGATATAGAGGAGCTCAGAGAGAGGAGGGGGAGGGAATTATGCAGGGCATAAGGGAAACCCAAGGGACTATGGAACTGTATCATAAAATGATAATAAAAATGTTCAGGAGAGAGGATGTTCAAAGACTTTGATAAGTAGACATAAGAAAAAAAAATCCTTGTTTTGGGGAGTACATCGTATCACAACGTGATGTTCTGACATGCACTCATACTAAACTTCCCTACTGTAGCACATTTCAACAAAAGAATGCTTGGCAACAAATACTAGAAAAATACTAGAAAAAACTAAATGCATCAAATAAAACTTCACAGAGCAAAAAGTGCTGCTTCCAAAAACGAGGGTATAAAACAGGTTACATGTACATAAGTAAAACAAAAATCATCTAGAGAAATAAACAAATTTCTATCTTAAAACACTAGACAAAAGATTACAAGCAAATAGGGAAATTACATATATAAATAGCAAAGCTATGAAGGAAGAGAGAGGAGTGGGTAAGTCATTCATTTCCTTTCAACAATTCACAACTCAGCCTTCAAGATAATAAAATTCTAAAATTGGTACTTTCTCAAATGTAGTTTTTTCTAAATATCAGGAAATACAGCTTAATTTTTTCCGGAAGAGTAAGATGTTACTGATTCATTACTCTGGTATTAGAAAACCCAAAGATGTGTTGAAAGGACTCTGATGGGAGGAGTTTCCACTGATTGTGCAACCCCTCTGCCTGGCAGTCTCTCCCCACACCAGCCAAGTCAGTGAGCAGTGTAAGGAGTGCTGTCTTCCTTTCCATTCCATCTCCAGGCTATAGAATCTTCATTTGCAGTTCTGTTTCTGAGAACTTTACTAATTTATCTTCCTTCTCAATATAGGCATTTGTTTCCTGCATTTCTGAAGATCTCATTCCTGGACCAGTGTTGAGGAAGCCACCTGTGAGGTAAGTCAGCATATTCTGCAGGGAGGATTTGGTTTATTTCTTGAAATCTAGATGAGAAAGCAAAATCAGCATTGATTATTTTAGATTGGCCAAGTGGGGGGAATAAAAAGGAATCCACTCGATTCAGAAAACTGAAAACCATTTAGTGTTAATGCTTCATTGATTAAGGAAACAAGAGGTACCTTTTGTTCCATCACAGCTGAGGCCTGAACAAGGGAAAATGTGTTTCTATTATCCTGTTATTTTAAAATAAATGTTCTGAGCATGTATTGACAGAAGTTGACTTCTAGAAAACTTTAGCTTTCACAACTTAAATTTGGTGACTCTGATGTTGAAACAAAAAGGAAATCTGAATATAAAGGTATATTAAGGAAAATCATCGTAATATTGCAACATGCACACATACTTGGTAGAAAGCATATATTTCACATAGTTATCCAAATATGTCTTAATATAACTGTACTAGTGTCTAACTTTCACTTGAGTTTCATTTTGTACTTCATTTTGTATAAAAGGCAGCCATTTTTTTGGTTCCTCCTGCTTTGTTCAAGACAGAGGCAGGGTGAGAATTTGTAGGAAATCATAAAATGCTTTATGACTACGCCATAAAAAGTTTTTAATTTACATGTAACTTTAAAATTTCTTTAAGTATTTTATGAACTTCATGTTTATGCTAACTTCATGAATGTGTTTGCCATGTTGGCAATTTTTTTCAGATTTTTACCTATTTTTACTGATTTTCAGTTATTGAGATGAGATAAAATTTCAGGCTACATAATGAGATTAAAAAACTATCATAACATTTCACTAAGCATAATGGTCTCCACTGGTATCTATTTTGTTGCAAAAAACAGGCAATTCCCAAAAGACAAATGTTGAATGTTCTCTCCTTTTGCAGTAGTTAATATAAGACAGCAATTAAGTATAAGAATGAATTTTACTTCTTAAGATTTGACTAATTTTTATATCCCTTGTTTACATTTCTGTGGAATTGCAGTCTTCATACTTTTGACTTTTTTACATTAAGCCTGTGATTATACCGCAAATTAAGTGCCTGGCACAGTAGCTTACTGGCTTAAATCCTCACCCTGTATGCACCAGGAACCCATATGGGCACCAACTCTAATCCTGGCAGCCCCACTGCCCATCCTGCTTTCTACTTGTGGCCAAGGGAAGCAATAGAGGATGGCCCAGGGCGTTGGGTCGCTGCACCCATGTTGGAAACCTGAAGGAAATTCCTGGTTCCTGGCTTCAGATCAGCTCAGCCCCTGCCGTTGTGGCCACGTGAGGAGTGAATCAAAAGACAGAAGATCTTCCTCTCTGTCTCTCCTTCTCTCTGTAAATCTGACTTCCAATACAAATAACTAAAAATTTAAAAAAATATTAAAAGTTTGTTATTGCAAAGAAATTGAAAGAAAAAATAAGAAGGTAATAAAGGATGGGAGATTAAATCAGGATGAGTAGGGAAGTGCAGTATCTTCTTTTAATGGTGTCTGTGAAATGCATGAAATCTGTTCTTTCTCCACATTGCTAGTAATTTTTAAAAACCTTAAGTGTCACTAAAAAAAGTAAGTAAAAAAACAATCAGGCCATAAAGCTGCATTTATTATGAGATTATGTCAGGTTTATAAAACATGACAACCAATGCTAGAAAATTGAACTATCATCAAAAGTTTAATTAGCTTTTTCCTATATTTAACATCAACATTACATATATATAAATTTTAAGAATCCATAGAAAGCAGAGGTTAAACAGAGTTTACTCTGTGGCCAAAAATTGGAATCTGCAAGCCAGCCACCTCAAAACATTCTTAGAAAGTGTACATTATGAAAAATTTTGTTAAGTCTCAAACAACATACTCCCAAATAGACTTACCTTTTCAATTTTATTTCGAAAACCCTAAAATAGACCAACAAGAGAAAGAAGCATGCTACCTATTATTGTTTACATTAACAAAATAAGAGACATAATTATATGAAGTGGTAATAATTAGAACTGTTGCATGCTTCTGAAGTTAATCATAGTATTATGAAATAGTGAAAGTTCCAGTCTGATGATAATTGGAAAAGCTATTTCTTAATGAGTCTAGCAATCAATGTCAATTAAATCCAGGGATATAACTTAAATAAGTCTTGCTATATTTGTTCAAATCGGAGCACTTACTCTGCGTTCCTTTCTGTATCTCCTTTGCCAATATTTTGAATTTTATCTCTAGCTTCCCCTCAAGCACAAATAACTTAATAAAACCTAATACCATCTCTTCTCACTATATTCAACTGACCTCGTCTACCCATTTCCTAATTTATTCCTGCTTGTTTAGGGTTTTCTTTTTTACACAGAAGACAGCCAATTGCAATAGGTCTTTGGTCTATAACTTGAGTTGTTGCTGGAACACCCAAGAGTGCCTGGGTTCCAGTTTCAGTTCTGCCCCTAGTTCTAGCTTTCTACTGATATGCACACCCTGGCAGCAAGTGGATGCTTGAGTTCGGGTGCCATCAGCATGTTTCCAGCTCCTGATTTTGACCAGGCTCCCCCTAGGTTGTTGTAGGTATTTGAGAAGTGAATAAGTGTTGCCTTCTGAATGTACAGCTTCAATGATTTAAGGACTTCTCATTAGGCCCCAACTTCTGAAAACTCTACACCTACCCAAAGCCCCACTCTGCATTTGGTAAACCTTCAATACAATGAACTTTAGGGGACATTTTAATTTTAATATTTATATTTATTTTCATTTGAATGGCATATTTTAAGCTGAAAGAAGGAGAGACACAGAAGGTCTTCCATTTCCCAAATGATTACAATGGCCAGAACTGAGCTGATCCAAAGCCAGGAGTTTCTGCCAGGAAGCATAGGATCACAAAGACTTAGACCATCTTCTGCTGCTTTGCCAGGCCAACAAGCAGAGAGCTGGATCAGAAATGGAGCAGTCAAGACTGGAACTGGTGCTTTTAGGGAATGCCAGGGTGGACGATTAGACTGCTGACTGCCACCATGCCAGCACCTGGGGGACATCATATACCCAACCCATATTACCATCATAATGAATTTTATTTTTCAACCAGGTTTCTTTATTATTTCTTTTCATTTCTTTTCTTTTCTTTTCTTTTCTTTTCTTTTTTTTGGGGGGGGGGGATTAGGCATTTATTTTTTAATAAAAGATCAGTGGGTAGCTGTTTTAATGTTACTGCTCTTGATTTTAATTGTGTGAGCCAGAATCAGAAAATGATCAATAGACCATCATATTTTAAATGTCATTTTGGATAAATATAAAAGCCCAGTTTCAAAATTTGTTAGGTTGGCAAAGCCTTTGAGAAACCTATGGCATTCTATGTCAGGCAAAATAGCAAAAATTTTCCAAGGACAGTGAAAATTTTTAGTTGCTTCAAGGAGGGTACAAATGTAGATTATAGGTATAGCTGGCATTCTGGAAACAACTGAAGAAGAAAAAGATTGAGTTTAGAAGGAGGAAAATACATGTCACAACATGCTAGTCAATAAATGCTTTGACTCTTATTAGGGAGTAAAGTCCAGCAAAAGGACAGTCATATGGGCACTGAAGATTGAAAGGATATTGTTTCATATCAAGGGAAAAATGTTCATGAATATTGAGTAGAGAACAGTTAAATTGATAAGGATCTCCATTCTCTCATGGAACTCTGCTACCATGGCATTTCTCAGCTTAAAGTGAGAAGCTTCAATCTGTGTTATGTATCTGCTAAGTGAGTAATAGCAAATTTCGGATGAGTCAGGAATCAACATGCAGACCTCAGGGCTAGGTGTAGCCATCTGAAGAATGCAAAGTAGGACCATGAAGTTAAAGATTTCTAAGTCTATACTTTTAGGAACTCCGGAAATTTTCTCTTCCCAGACATCCTTCCACCACAACTACTCCAGACCCAACTCAGTTACATGAACATGTGTGATCTTCTTCAGGTAGCACTTAGCTTTTGCCATAATCATGCACTCAGTCATTAAGTCCTTGCTTGGAGGACAAGAGGAGGCTAGTATCCCAACCCTGAAGACTCCCAGATTCTCACCAAGCACTATCAGGATGAGCACCAAGGACTACATTCCAACTGCCAAGGAGACCACTGGGAATTGGAGTGCCTCCAGATGGCAAGAACTCTGAGGTCATCCACTCCCACTTGGATCTACCACATGGGATGAAAGAAGTCCAAATCCTTCCTTGCAGGATCCAACGGCGTCAGAACAACAGCCAGGAGCCCTGAGTAGTCCACAGAAACAGAAGAAGAATAAACTTGTTGGGTGACTAGAGAGGGGAGCTTTCTCTGGTCCTCGCTTGGTTCCAACTTTGGGTCCCCACCCTCTCTGGCAATAACTATCAGGATGGCTCCGGAAACCTCTCAAAACAAACAAACAAACAAAAACTCTAGAATAGATAGAGAACAACAAGGAAAGCTTAGAAACACGCAGGAAATGGTCAGCGTGGATTCACTGATGCCTTACTAGGTGGGACACAAAGATTAGTTACTCCTCACTAGGCTATTGAAGATTTCTCTGCACACTCCTCCTAAAACTGTTCTGCACCTAAACTATTGACATACCTCTTGTTAGAGTTATAAGCCAGTCTAGACCACCCGAAAAAAAGCCCAGTTCAGCAAAATCATGCTTCAGTGTATAAACTGCTAAATACTATAATGAAAATAGACACGAGACAGCTGATAGTAATCTATAGCCATTTTAAGGTGTATAGAACCCGGTTGTAGATAAACCAAAATTGAAATGTCAATGAAGGAGTCGCAGGATGTGGTAAAGAACTTGTATTATTTTTAACATGCCAGTTACTCAATACTATGTCAATTATCCATAACGTTATAAATTGTTGCTGATATTATGTTGGGGCTTTTAATTGATCGGGATGATACTCTGCCAGCTCTACTTTCAGACCAGAGATGAGCTTATCTGGACAATAAGATGCTGGACTCTGTGTTTGGTATATGCTTGCAATGAAAGAATCTCATGTGAACTTGAACTGTGGTAATGCAACAAGGTGGAGGAATCCACCATGAGGGGAGGGTTTGGAGAAGGGTGGGGGTAATCCCAGTACCAATAAAACTGTGTCACATAATGCAATGTAATTAATTTAAAAAAAATAAGCTCCTGCTTGCTAGACACATACCCTGTGACCAACTCTGGCCTGGTTCACTCATAAAAAGCAGTCTCATTCTTGAAATTATCTGGATATATATGACACATGGTTTATTTTTCTCTTGTAGGTCCACCTATATTTTAAAAGATGGAAAGTGAATACAGGAAAGCTGTTCTGCTGAAAGGATTAAAACCCATCAGTGATGAACAGTTTCGTACAGTTAAGTTCATACTGGCACCAGATTTAGAAATGACTGAGCAAATGCAAGACAAGTGTGACAGAATTAAGATTGCCGTGTTAATGGCAGAGAAGTTCCCTGCTGATGCTGGATTGAGCAATCTAATAGAAATATTCAAGGATATAGAAGAACTTAAAGATCTTGCTGAAGAGCTGCAAACAGAGAAGTCAGAAAGTAAGGAGGGGAAGGGAACAGACCTTGCTATTATCCTGCCACCCTCTCTGCCCCGTCTGTAACTTTAACTGAAACCCACCTTGATCAGGGTTGATAAATCTCTTTCCCACTTCATGACTCAGTGGTCATGGCCTTTTTGCTGCTTCAGATGTCAACAAATTGACAATTCACCGTATTTTTCTAATTCCAAATGTGCATTAAGAACGAGAATTAGTGCCTGCGGCGTGGCTTTGCGGGTAAAGTCTTCACGTTGAATGGCCGGAGATCCTATATCGATGCCGGTTCTAATCCTAGCAGCTCCACTCCCCATCCATCTCCCTGCCTGTGCCCTGGGAAAGCAGTTGAGAATGGCCCAAGGCCTTGGGATCCTGCACCCCTGTGGGATACCCGGAAGGAGTTCCTGGATCCTGGCTTCAGATGGGCATAGCATTGACTGTTGCTCTCACATGGGGAGTGAATCAAACAATGGAAGATCTTCCGCTGGGTCTCTCCTCTCTGCATATCTGACTTTCCAATAAAAATTAATAAGTCTTTAAAAATAGAACTAGAATTAAAATAAGCTTATTGGGGCAAATAAACTCATAAAATCTATGAATTTTTTTATTATGGATTTTCCAATAGCCTTTGAAGTATTTTCGTTTTCTTTTACTGAGTTATGCAATTTGTGTAGATTATTTGGAAAATATGACCTGTCATAATCAACAAAAATCTCAGAGGTGTCATAGGAGATGACAGGAAAACAGGACTGAGGAAGTGTTGAAGTGCATGGGAAGGATGTGTTCATTGCATAGCACAGGAGCCAAAAATCCAAAAGCAAGAAACAGCACTTCTGACTGTCTTGATACCATGGACCACCTTTTGCTGGTTGAGTCAGTACAATAGAGGCTGACACCAGCATAGCTAGATTCATCACCTGGAGGTGGGACGAAATAGTGTAGGAGCTACCCACACTGCCCTAGACCACCTGCTCTGAGCTTTTTTTTTTTTTTAATGATTAGTTATGAACGAAAATGAACGCACATCAGCAAAAGAAACACCACCATCAAAAAAAATGAAGCCATGTGGAATGAATGATGCTGCACCTGCACCAGCCACAGGAACTATTACCAGCACTCAAGGAGCAAAGAATACTGCATCAGCTAAGGTAAGCCTCGCGATGAGAAGCAGGCTGAAAGTCTCACAGAAAATACTGACATGGCTGCCCCATAGTCTCAGATTTATCAAACTGCATAATAATCAACCAGCTTTATTCAAGGCATTGAGCCAAGGACTTAAACCATATCATGAAAATACGTGTTACATAAATATGATAGCTTCATCTCTACTAGGGAGATATTCAACAGGAAAACACCTTGCCTATCTTCAGAAAAATGCACTCTGTTTTTTTTTTAAAAAAAAAAAAAGAAGATTTATTTGTTTTTTATTTGAAAGGAGAGGAAAAAAAGAAAGAGAAGGCCCTCCATCCAATGTGTTCACTCTCCAAAAGGCAGCAGTTGTCAAAGCTGTGTTGATCCAAAGCTGGGAGCCACGACCTTCTTCTCAGTCTCCCAGATGGGTGCAGGAGCTCCAGGACTTGAGCCATCTTCTATTGTTTTTCTAGGCCAAAAGCAGGGAATGGGATTGGAAATGGAATAGCCACTATAGGAACCTGTGCCCATACAGGAAGCTGGTGCTACAGAGAAAATGATTCGTATGCTGCACTACCAGGCCACTCCCAAGCATACTTCTCCTAATTCCGAGACAAAGACAGTCACAAGATTTCAGAAAGGTAGTTAATGGAAAGATATGTCCAAATTTAGCCTTTGTTATGAAGCCACTAGTGAAGGAATGAACAGCCCTCTACATTTAAGAAAACATTTTAGATAGAATAAATCTAATACCTAATGCAGTAATGAAAATGTCCTTTAAATTCATTTAATACTGGAAACTACTAACAAGAAAATTAAACCATTTTCAGAAAACACCTGAAACCATCAGACAAAATCCTGGAGCCAAAAGAAATCAGGTCCCTGGTGAGCAGGCTTGCCCTCCCAGTCTTGCAGAACCCAGTACATCCACAGCCACGGACCCTGTCCCACCTCCACAAATCTCATCATCAACACCAAACACTCCTTCCACTAAGGTAAGATCTTCCTCTGCTCCCTTTCCTTCGTCCTTCTCAACCTGAAATGGGAGAATTCTTTCTTCCAATTCCCACCCCATCCATCCTCTACTTAAAAAGAACAGTACTTAAGTAGTGAATCAAATGTGCATGTTGAGAATTTACAACATTATACTTTGCTTCCACAGAAATGCTTGATGAATTTGACATCATCTCTAACTCTTCAAAGATTCCTGCCCCGTGCTGCTCCAGGGTGGCAGGGGAAAGGGTTAGGTGTAGTGTCCAGCACAGTACAAACAGATACAACACTGAGCACATCACCACCTCTTCCCAATTCTCGCATCTCTACCTGTTCCTCACGAACACATTAAATTTCTGCAACACTCACCATGCTCCTTTCATTGTAAATTTCTACATCATATCTGCTCTGTGTTATGACTTGAGCAGAATTTGGCCCTCCCAATTCACGAAAATGCTGGAACTCAAACTCCTGTGCTAAGAGTTTGCATTAATGCCAACGGGTTGATGTTTTAAAGATCAGCAATTCTTCTCATTATGATGTTTTGAGAGGTGGGCCTGGTTGAAGATCTTTAGGTCACTGGAGGCTTGCTCTGAAAGGGCAGTTCAAGTGAGAGGGATGGTTGTACACAGCAGCATGCTTCCTCTCTCTCTCTCTCTCTGTACCCTGGCTCACTCGTCCTGTGTATGGCTTCCACTCCCCAGTATACCCACTGGATTATGAGCCTTTAACCTTTACATCAAAAGAAGCCTTCTGCCTTACTAAGCAGTCTTTCAGATATATTAGCTAAAGCTTCAAAATGCTGACTGATAAACTCCACTGGAAAACTCTTACCTGGCCAAAGCTACCCACCCTGTGGATTCCAATTTCAGTATTCAATCCATTCTTGAAACTCCTACAAATGAGTTTTAATGGAAGTTCATTTTTTCCTATCAGTTATGTATTCACTGTCTAGCAACAATGGACTTGGTACATGGAGTTGGTAAGAATACATGTGGACTACTAATTGATGGTCAATAGCCGAAGTCCATTGACAGCATCAGACATTTTAAAGGCAGGTGATCATGTAGGCATCAGGGAGGGGTGCCCCGGCCCGCGTGGTCTTCAACAGAGACCTGGGGAGAGAACCGACGATTGGAGGGGACAGGAGACAAGAAGAATGGGAGCAAGACAAGTGGTCTGATCAAGCTCCAAAAACTTTATTTTCTCAGGCAGTATTTAAGCCGCAGGTTAAGGCTGGGTGGGGGGAGTTTTACAGCAGGATGTGGGCCAGATAGGGCAGAGGTCACCAGGACAACCGTTATCTTGGGTGAACAATTACAGGTGAAAGATTACGAGGAAACTGGGTGAAAGATAACTGGATCTAGCATTCCAAGACCATTACAAAATGAGGAAATAACAAAATGGAGTCACTCCTGCTGTTCGGCAGTTCTCTGGTCCCCGGCATCTCCTCCCTTTCTATATTTTTTGAACAGGCAGAATTGTATCAGGTCTGCTCCTAGCAAGGAGACAGTGGGCCTTGACCGGAGAGGGGAGGTAGTGACCTGATTCCTCTCGCGGGGATAAAGAGTCAGCAACCCCGCCACCTAATGGCTCTTGGTGTCTTTTGGAGAGGAGGGGCAGAGCCGTCTTGTTGCAAGGTCCTGGGACCACTGACACCAACCCCTATGCAATCAGGTTTACCTCTCAGGGGACTCAGAAGCAGGACTTGCGGCCTTCCCCTTGCAGTGCTCTGCCTGCACCTCTGCTACGGTGCCCAACGCTGCATTGTGCAAGCGTGCATGGGTCTGAGTTCCATGCTGGAGCTTAATCAGCTATGGGCTCATCGTAGCCCTGATCTGCCAAATCGAGCTGATGATAATGAATTTGGATGGGTTTAGCCAACAGGGAGTGGACCTGCTGCCGAACAAACTGAGTGATACGATTTACAATACAAGCACCACAGGAAACAATCCACAAAATGCTGATCAGGGGTCTCAACAAGGGAAGTAAATATGGCAATATCCCGCCCCAGGCTGTCCATACAGGGTTCTGAAACAGTTCTCTGCACTGCTTCGAGCTCTTCTTAATGTTTTTGGATTCGGTCTCGAACAATCCCGGACTTATTGGCTCTATGCCAATAACAGCATCGCTCCTTTTACCATCTAGTTCATGAGGAGTTGGGGTCCTATGGCCAGTTTTGAAACTGTACTCATAATAGTAAGTCCATTTGAATACATTCAGAATTATTCAGCTGAACAGGCCTTGTAGGTCTTAAAGAAATAAAAACAGACATGCCTTTCCAAGAGCTTAATAGCATATCCATACATTATTCTCAAAATGATTCAACTTAGCAATTCACATTTATGAATATTTTCATCTATAAGCCAATTAAGATAGACTACATAGCTTGCCACATAAACATGTACATGTGTATCAGGTAACACATAAAACAAAACAACTTTTGTAACAGCTACTTGACAATTCTCTTGAGTGTGTTAACGTTACCAATCGTTTAGAATTACATTTTGCTTTTAATAATATGAATAAACCATACCTATAGTTTACTATCAAACTTTAGCAATGCCCCCCTTTTTTTTTTTTTTTAAATAGATCAGTTGTCTGTCCTACAATTAAATAACTTTACCAACTGAAAGATACAACCTTTGAAACACATTCTTCTGACTTTGAGGCTGCTAGGGGCCCATCTAGAAATCCCAAAACCAGAAGAATTAAACCTATTTAATATGCCAAGAGGCCTTAAAGCATCTAATTGAAGATTCATCATTATAATGTCCATTCATTTAGTCAGACTGATTTGAATGCTAACATGTTAAGAAATTTTTATCACTTAGAAATGATCACCCAAACATTTCAAAGTAAATACATATCAGAAAATACCCTTGAAAATATAGCTCTTGATAAAATCATATAACTTTTTAAGAATTGTAACAAATTCAGTGGTTGGAACAAAAATAGAGCTTACTGAAGGTGGATAGACAATTGACAAAGTTACCAATTAAGCAGAGATTATCTAAAATTCAATGCTTCAATTTTTTAACAGCTTTCAAAATTAGAGATACAGGTATTTTTATTTTTAGATATTTACTAGCATTTTTATGTATACACACTTCAAAAAACTTTTTGAACAGATATCAATTCTAACATCAGCATGTATTAAGTATTAACGTTAAAAACTTAAACAATGTTATAATAATATCTTTAAAATTATGGCCAATTATATATAAGGCTTACAAGATTCATTTCTTAACTTTTCTGACTTCCTCTGTTTTAACATGCTTAAACCTTTAAAATATTTTGTCCTAGTTTGCCCTCTTCATTGTATGATAGCCATTTCCCTGTAGGACAAAATATTCTACAAGCAATGCTACATTTTTTAAATAAAAGCATACCAACTTTTAAATACAATGGCTTTAAGCAGTTTTAACCATTTCTCCCAATTCATGGAAACATATTTTAACACAAACCCGCCTTAAAACCTGGAAAGAGAAGTTTTTCAAATAACCTTCTTCTAGCTGATTTGGGAATTTCCCCTTCTCAAAAGAAGGCAGATAAGAATCACAATGAGGACCTGAAGGAGGCCAAGGTCCTAAATTCCTTACAAAGGGCATACTCCAAGCATGCCTTTCTAAGCCCTTTATCTATGGGTGGTAGGCCTGGAGCTTCTTCATAGTTTGTTTTATTGAAGTCAAAGAGCTGAAAAAACAATTTGGCTTAAGTCTTGGGAGGCTACTTAGGAATCTATTAGTTATCAATAAGATGAAAATAACTTAAAAGGAGACGTTGAAACAACTTAAATGTTAAAATAACTTAAAAGGTTATTATAAAGATGTTAAAACACTGTCGTTCTTCACAAGGGATCAGACTCCAACTTCATTGTCTTAAAGGCAAAATTCAGAAATTATACACATCATAACCAATTTTACTATACATCTTTAAAGAATTCGTTGTTCTCCTGCAAGGCAAAATCTCACATACTTCCTTGTAAGTAAGAACACAAATAGTTTACAAACTGGATTAATTTTATGAGTAGGAAACATGTCAACCAATGAGTATAAATACTCATCTATTTAATAGCATATATGATGCAACAAATTTAGCATAATTTTATAATATTGTGAGATTATAATCCAAATTATTTTAAATGACAATTATATTATCCAAATTTTTGTCTCAATCTTTGAGAGTTCCAGGGATCCTACTAGAACCCTCAAAGTCATGAGACTTGGTTTCAAACTGAAGAATTTAGAGGTGTAAATTAGTTAAACAAAAAGTACATTTAACATTTAACATTTAACTGAACATGTTAATGAATACTGTATTTTAGACCTGATAAGTGCCAGGACAACACTGCAAGCTGAAGACTAAGCAACAAGAAAATGTTATAAGAACCTTTTCTCAGTGGAGGTGGGGAGTCTGGTCTGGTCAAGTCCTGTTAGATAAGTTAGACTTTTTTTTTCTTAATTATTTACCAGGAGAGAGAAAAGGGGGTTAGTCATGGTCCGTCCCATCTCGTCTGTCAGTCAGTCACACACTTACCCAATTCACAACAAGAACAATAACTTAACAATTCAAGACAAAGATACAATTGGTTAAAGGGTATTAAAACAAAATCTAGTTTTTGTCCGGACAAAAATAATAGAACACCAACAATAAAGACTAAACAAACATGCACAATCACTAAACACATCAAAACAAAGACATACATTTCTTAAACCTTTTGAGATTTCCAACCTCTTCTTCGACATACTTCAACCTAGACATATTTTATAAAACAAGTACATAGGTTCATCTCATGCTTTAGGTTAATTTAACAGTGCATTTGGACCACTCTGTATACTTTTATATATAACTGCTAAATCAGGTTACAGAACAAGAACAAGTTTCCTTTTTTTTTTTTTTTTTTTAATGAATGTTAATCGTTTATCTCTTACCTAGCTCCTCTCAGGTAGGGGTTAGGGCTATGAGGTGGAGCTAGAGAAATTTAGATCCTGAAGGTGAC